AAATAATAATGATTATTTTACACTTTGAATGTAAGCTAATTTTATTATTCATCGTTATACCGGTATACTAAATTATATATTGCAAGCATATCACAAACACCTAAGACAATTTACGCGTCCTCTGGAACTTATTACATAAACTTGTCATCCAATTTTACAGAACTGTAAAATGCTTAATGTATTTCTGTCACTCAAAATGTAAAATGCGTGTAAAGTTTATAGAAAATATACACTATTAAGTATGGTTTTTATAAAAAATGGTAAATGTTTCCAGTTTGAACATAATAATCTTATATACTATAAACCAAATTACATTGAATGAGGCTTACTCATATTAATATGCAGAAATGTAAATATGATTTAAAATTCTTATTCTTATTGATCACAGATATCACCTGATTTCTCATAAATTCATTCTCCTTTCCCAATTATAGTACGTATCATTTTGCATCATCATTATTATTCCTTCTCCAAAGTAACAGAAAATAAATTTACAAATTTATTGACAGCGGTGAGACTGGGTACGGTTGTGCCAGAGTACGTTAGTGATAGTCGTAATAACACCTAAACTATACTGACTTTGGGATAGGGTTCAAAGGGAGAAAGATGAAATATGTTTGTTAAAACAAGATTTAATTACTGAGTCATTGCCATACATTAACATGCTCTATAGACCGCATCGTTTAAAAGTGAGTTTCTTTGTTCGAATCCTTTTAATAATAACTGTTACTTGTATACAGATAGGTTACTTTGTTTATTTTGAGGTAAGTAATTTATCACATAATCAATTATACACCGACGATTTGTTTTCAAAAGTGTACGTTGGGTATGGTTCTGTCAATTTTTGTGGGTGCAGTTGTGACATGTATTTCTTGTCCATTTCGGTTAAACAGAAATAAGACAAAATACGAAAAAGCAAGGCAAGAAAAGAAAGTTTCTGTCTGATTTGTGGAAGCTTATATTCTGAAAGTGCCAACGAACATGCAGTTTCTGGTTTGTCACCATTGTAATGATGATTCTGACTAGATCTCAGTATATTAATACATAGGTACTGTAATATTTTGACTGATTTTGTTACATATTGTAATAATATATTCATAAGTGCTTGTTTAAATAATTATGTTGTGTTGTGTTACATATTTCTAACAATAAAAGTCGTTATAAAACATGTTCATGTTAATACCTATTGTATAATCGCCCCTAAGACGGTTGTGACACTCGTCTTTTTCTTGTATGATTAAATTTTATGATTAATCCATTGTATTTGAGGTCAGTATTTTAGTATTTCCACATAAATATTCAAATTTTCATTTAATTTACTTTTCTACCAACTAACTAGTAAATTAACAAAATTATTTTTGATAATAAAAAGTTGCACAAAGTCTCTGCTACTATTTCGAAATTGAGCAGAATAAAAATTCATGAAATCTGAAAAGCATTTTTCGCTCTATATTAAAAATCTAGATTTAAAAATTATTTGTTGTAAGTGGCATTTAGTCTTAGGGCAAGTTGCATAAACTTTCCGAAATGTGTAAGAATTGACTTAATCAATCAAAATTGAAATTTAGACTTTTATATAAAATTTTCAAATATAAAGTTATCGCTTTTAATTAAATCTAAACATTTCGATTTCGAATAGAATTTTTTCAAATACATTTAAATTAACTGTAATTATATTAATTATATTGCACAGACACATGCTTGTATGCCCAAAATTTGTTGCTTATTATTTTAAATTTTAATGAATTGACAATGTTTGACTCATCACATCATAAAAGCAAAATATAAATACAAATTACAGAAATACAAATTATGACTATAATATTTTTTCAAACTTTGATGAAATTTTAACATTAAGCTATTTGTCGTAGGGCCGCAACATTTTAGTATATTTTATAAGACCATGATATCTATTGTCTAAAAAAGAGTCATAAAAATCGGCAATTTTTACTTTTCACTTTTCTGCTGTTTAAAAAGAAACGGCTTGATTGATCGTCGCGCAAAATGATAAACGCTAGTCCTCATCGAGATACATCGAATGGCTTTTAAATTTTTGAAATCAGTCCAGCGGTTCTTGAGAAAACGTCGATTTACGGCAAAAAATCTGTTCACATACACTCACACATACTTTTTTCAAATTTGGTCTCATTCGATTCAGAATGGCTTAACGTCAAGAAAACATAAAATTAGCGAATCGGATTTTTTTATGAAAACATAAACTTCTCCTTAGGGAAGTTAAAAATCTCTCTTTCTACTTCCTTACCTCACCCTAAATTCCACTGAATATTATCTCCCTCTCAACTTAAGTTTGCCTTGCCCGATCAAAATTTTCTTAACGCTCTCGTCACACGTTCACCAGCTTACTCATCAAATCAAGTGTTCGTTTCAAGGTTTCATTGAAAATGTAAAGACAGTGTTTTAAAAAATGGCTTGACATATAAACGTATCCGCCTTCAGGTTATATAAAAATGTATCGTTTGTATGTTTACCGGTGTGTTTGCTAACAGCTACAGCCGGAGAGCCGTAGTCCCCCCGTGATAAATACCTAGCGACGTGTTCGAGATTTCGCACTTTCCGTCCACAATAGAGAGTTATCTGTGCGGCAGGTCGCACGCCGCCTTAGCTCCGATAGCGGATCAGGATGTCACGAGCAGAAGAAAAAACCACGGAGAATATGAATTGAAACGTCGAACGGCGCGAGTTCATTCGAGTGAACATTTTAAGAGAGCGCAAACGAATATCGAATATTATTCAAACTGTCATAGTAATCCGAAGCTCGGCCGTGATTTATCGCGTCTACGGCGATCGACGAGGGAAAAAGCTGAAGTCTTCTTTGAGAACTTCTTTAAGAACAGATTATGTGAACCGATTGAAAGTATAAAGCTATCGTTTAATGGAAATGCTGTTATTTCATGTTCAGCAATAATATTGCTTGATAGAATAAAATATCACTGTTGAATTGTTACCATTTAAACAGTCAACCTACAGAAAACGAGTAGCGCATGGCATTGTGCCTTGGTAAAACTTTTCAAAATATCGACTTTTTGTAAATTTGAGTGTTTCTTCGGAAAATATCTAATTTATTAAATCGACTGTATTGAAAATTTCGTACTTTTGTGAAAATTTGAAAGTTTTGAAGAATTTTAAAACTCATTTAAGTCGGCTGATCCATAAAGTCGAAAATGTTAAGAAAATTTGTTTGAACTATATAAGTTACTATAACTCATTATAAGAGTAATATAAAACATTATAAATCTTGGTACGAAACCCATAGAATTTGGAAGCAAAATTTGTACTTATTATTAACATCTCTATAAAATATCTGATAATTTGATGTACATATGTAATTGATACTCTTTGACCCCCAAATGCCATTTTTAACATTATTTCTAGATCTGCTATACCGCTGGTCCTGTCTTCACAAAAATTTCATCACACGGTTGGACCTGTCATTGTCCAAACCGAATCAGCACGTCCCCAGCAATAGGATTCAAAACTCATTTGAATCATTCAAATCGGTTACTCCGTGTTCTCGAAATCGTTGACAAAAATTATAGTAGCACACACACATACATAAACATTAGGGTGGTCCTTAATATGGACATTTTCGAATTTACTAGCTCCTAAAGGCTCAAATAGTTCCAAATTGATAAAAAACAATTATCTCAAAGCTTTAGCTCTTAATATTGTTTTTTAGATAGCGCGCAATTCAATCAATGGAAATAGCATGAAAATTTTTTAGATATAATTTAGCGAACAAATGAATGACTTTTATTCAAAATTTGTCGCTAAGTTATACCTAAAAAATTTTTTTTTTAATTTTCAAAATTTTTTTCATGCTATTTCCATACAAAGTTTGATTGAATTGCGCACTAGCTAAAAGTTAATATTAAGAGCTAAAACTTTCAAAAAATTGTTTTTTATCAATTTGGAACCATTTGAGCCCTTGGGAGCAAGTAAATTCGAAAATGTTCATTAAGGACCACCCTAATTCACATACATCAACTTTTTCTAAGCTATGCCAAAATGTTCAGAAACCTTTGAAACGTAAAGATAAGTTAGTTGAAAACTGAAACTTTCAACACAAAACATTATTATTAAATACTTTTTTTCACAAGACTTTAAACATTTATGTAATCATTCCATGAATCAGTGCTTACACATAGTTTCAGTTACTTGATACATTATTCTATTAAATACGTGCCGTGAATCTAAAGTTATTAATCAACAAACCCGATGATTTGGCAGAACTAATTGTAGAGTACTACTGATATGCCCAAAAATTGTGACACACGTTAGTATCAAGTATCAACTAATATAATAATTTTATTTTTAAAAAGTAAATCAAAAGTTAATACATTTCTTCATAAGTAACATCATTTTTTATGCACTTTTTTTCAGAAAATTGTATTATGATTAAGCAAAACTCAATGCTCATTTGAAAGATATCAATTGAGTTTCATTATTTTGGAATTTTCAAAAGATTTCTATTCTTGTTCATTAATTAAATTCGGGTAGTTCATTTATGACTCAAAGCAAAATGCCACTAACACCTTATTGTCTATCAAATGCCGTTTTTATTACCAACCTATTAACGATAACTACATAATATAACAAAATTACTAAAGTTATGATAATAGTACGATTAGGCAGTAGCTATATTTTTTTATTAAATTAAAGTTATGTTAAATTGGAATAATCTTAAAATCTTTAAATGTTATATTGCACCATCTTAATATTGTAAAAACTTTGAAATTATTAAACCATTAAATATTGAAACCAGTATAATTAAAAAGTATAATATTTTTAAGAGCAAAATCGAATCAATCTAATTCTTCAATCAATATATTTCCACTAATGTTCGACTAACCGCAAAGCCAAATGCAGTGATATTATTATTGTAAATAATCAATATAATCGTCTAATTGCCCCTTAATCGTGCTAATCAATAGAATTTACATGCACAAAGCAAAGCATGTTCATTATCTGTAGTATATTACCTGTATCTCTAATCCAATAGTTAATTGACTTTGGTGAAGCTTCCACATAGCATTCGAGCGTCACGTCGGTCCCGAGAGGGGCGCCCACCAGCTGGTTCGGCACTTGAATCACAGGCGGAACTTTGAAAGGAAATTCATTGATAAATATAGGTTTAAATTCAAATATTCAATATTAAATGCAATGGTCAGTAATTAATTACTCGCGAGTTATTAAAATCGAAATATTTTTTTTGTAACAACATATGCGAATTCTTAAATTAGCAATAAGATTCTCATAAAAGAAACATTTCAAACGGTATGGAAATTAAAAAAGAGTATAGGACATCAATTTACATGAAATGGATATTTATATAAATGATTAAGGTACTTAAAATTAAGTTTGAATTGGTTCAGAAATCTGTAACAGATATATAATTTTGAATTTGATTTGAAATGTGATGTGTATTTGTATATATCAAGCCCTTAACAACGTGATTCAAATCACGTTTTACTCGATTTTAATCAACTTGCAGCAAGCAGAGAAATATTTCATGTAAAACATATGTATGGAAATAAATTTTAATAAACTTAAAAAATTAATGTTTAAATTTCGATCGAATCATTCGAGTTACTCGCATAATCCGAACTAAACGACTCATTCGAGTTAGTCGCATGATTCGACTCAATCGAATCATTCGAGTTAACCCCATGAATCGAATTCAAGCGACTCTTACGAGCCTTTCAATTTTTGAACAGATGAGCAGCTAAAATATTGTCATTGTCCTTGTCCACTAAAACAAATTCGTTTGTTTGTAAAATATTAATACTTTGCTTGTTTGTTTTATATGCTCTAGTGATGCAGAAGTGTTTGGTTTTTTTATTGTGAATTAATTTGAAAATATATTTTAACTGTCTTCAGATTTAAATCAATTTTATACATTTTTTAATAGTAATTTATATTTAAAAATTTTAATTTATTGAGTATATTGGCCAAACATAGCACTTTTCATCATAAATTTTTATCATATTTACTAAAGAAATACACCGATGTTTTTTTGTTATCTTTTTCACCTTATTTAAGCTCGAACCGAACTGATTTTATAATTTCTGGCCGTTTTTGGGCATCTTCTAGAAGTTTTCTCTAAAGCAGCTGCATCGATTTCAATAGTTTAAAAGGCTCTCGATATATTTCTATAAGAACTCGCGTTGATTACACGTAAACTAATATATTGATTTTTTATTAATTAAATCTATTATATACAGATACTCTATAAATTAATTTGTACAAGTATAAAGAGAGTCATTGAGTACATAATTATTATCTATTAATAACATCATTTATATTTTTTTGGATATTAATATCAAATTAATATTAATTCAAGTAATATCGTAAGAACTCAAGTATTACAAAAAGTTATAAGACTTATATTTAATAAGATATAAGTTTACTATTATCTATCATTATATTTTATTATATTGTACTATCATATATAATCCAACTATTATCTATCTTACCGTGAGATACCTATAACATCAATTTCTCTCCTTATAAATAATATATTACCGTTAGATTATTATTCGTTATTAAATTTTATTATATATGTATAACATACACCCTACACGCCTTTTACTTGTTATAAACCTTACTTTCTACTATTTATATGCTATATTTTTGCCTTATGCCATATACTCTATTATCTATTATCTCTAGCCTATACTTCATTTCTATTCTACTAGCCTATTATCTATTATCTCTAGCCTATACTTCATTTTCTATACCGGGATTGAACCCAGAGCCCCAGCGTGGCAGTCATGCACTTTAACCACACTCTATTGGGTCCGTGCGCCCCACTTATGTTAGGAAATTACTGTACTAGATGATTTATCTATGATTTGGAACGATGTTCGTTCGGAATGTGTCAAAAGCATATTCTCAGTTAGAAAATATAGAAAACAATCACATAATATAAAATAAATTAATTTCATTGTATAAAAATACTAAAGTTGATGAAAAATAAAAATAAATATAATTGTTTTAGTTAAGTTTATTTATAAAATGCTAGAAAATTTCCTAGGAAAACTAGGTTAGGGTACAAGGTCAGGCACAAATAGTTTAATTCATTCGAAATTGATTTAATAGTTTACTTTTACTTACAATGAACGTTGACCATTATTCGCTTGCTGATTGCAGGTGGGACGTGATTATTTGCGATGCAGAGATACGCGCCCATTTCGGATCTTGTGATTTTGGACAACTTTAGAACTTCTCCTTGATATGATGAAACTGTAATATGAAATAGAGCCTGGTGAATATATTATTTAAAACTATATAAAATATAAAAAAAATAGAAATAATATACAAAATAATTTACAAATATTAATCTCTAATTTTTAATGCATTATTTGGTAACATTCATTTCAAAAAATTTTCATCAACGTTTCTAGAAAAAAAACTTGAACATTTGAAAACCGTTCAGAAAATTAAGTATAAAATTGTGAGAATTAGTAATATCAATAATTATTATATAATAGAAATTTTTTAAATACTTATTTCAACAGTAATCAGAACTCAAGAGTCCTATGTGTTGTTATGACGAATTTTTTCTAAACTACGTTTTTTATAGATGGCAGCCCAAACAGTTGTCTTATCACTAGGCGATAATTTTTATTATTACAATTATTGTAATAGTGATGACTTTTTATTAGTGTAGCAATGCCGTATCAGAGCTATTTTTACTTAAAAACATGTTGCTATTTATATTTCCAAGTGAAAACCGTTGTCACTACTGCATGACAACAGGCTGCTCGAAGCGGGATCGAACCCAAGTCCTCTGATTCAGGTCCAGTCGTTCTAGCCACTTACCTACGAGCGAGCCCAATATACTGTTTATACTCAAACAAAGAGAAAATGCTTATGTGAATTTGAAAATGAAGTTTATTTGATAGATAAATTATGAGATAAGTGTTAAATTTTAACACGATACTAAAAAATATCAAAATTTAAAAAAATCCATTAGATTAATATCCTTGCGTGCAACTCCATAAAAAAGTAAAATGTAATTAAGAAGAGCCAATTTTTAAAAACATTTTTTCAAGTATATTTTACCTTTTGTTTTAATGGAAAGAGTAATCGACTACGGTGGTATCCCTATATTTATATGGAAATTTGACATTTCTCTATAAGTCGGGCACTTTGTATTGTTTATTCGGGTACGCAAATAAAGTATTGTCTGTGGGATGTTATTGCACGTACGCGAAACGAGTTCGGTCCGAAATTATTCACAGTTGTAAAGCTGGATGAGCAAAAGAGCAATATCGTTCAACATAAAGTGTCAACAGTTTTTCTTGTTTTAGAGTTTGAATTCGAATGCTGAATTTATTGTGTCTCATATGAAATTTCAAAGTGACTATTTGCAAAATTTTATTGCGATTAACATTTTTAGGGTTTGTTTTTTGTATAATATTTAACACTAAACAAATTCAGATAATGTTATTTGTTTGTCGTATAGAATATTAGGCGTACGAACTCATATCATCAAATATCGAAGATGATTCTAATGTGGAGTTGTAGCACAAGCGATGAAACAAAAATTATTTATAAGTCTAATAATTATAATTATTATACTAAACCACAAAAAAATTAATAATAAAACATGAAAAGTACTATAGTCACATATTATGGAACGTTCTATAACAGCGGATGATAATACTATCAAACAGTTGTTTTATTGGTGAGCCTTTCCTTTATGACATTTCGATGTATCGATACATCACCAAACTGATCCAAACTTATGATCTGAGTAGATACTTGGTGAAAACGGTGATTAAAGTATTTCAATTGATGACGAGCCCAGTGACATAAAACATTTTGTTGCATCTACAACTCCTCAACATCAATACAGCTGCATTCTTTTTTTAACTTCCCGTAGGGCAAATTTTAGTAATCGCAAAAAAATCGAAAATATTTTTTTTTATATAATTTTACGTTTAACTTATACGTTTCAATGGTTTTTAAAAATTTTGGACCTTAGAAAAAATGGATGTATGTGTGCGTGTGCGTGTGTGTGTGCGGATACAAATTTTCGTCGACGATTTCGGAAACACGGATCAACCGATTTGAATAATTCAAAAAACATTCGATTCGTATTGATAAGGAGACGTGCTGATTAGTTTTTGGCGAAGGCAGGTCTAGCCGTTCCGAAGATATGGTAAAAAAAAAAGAAAAAAGTGCCGAAAACGGTAACCCAGTTTTTAAGAGAACGGAGCGTCCGATTTCAATAATTCATAAAACATTTTACTTATATTGACAAGATGAAGAATTGATCAAATTTTCATGAAGGTAGGTCTAGCGGTTTCAGAGATCTAACAAATAAAGTAAAAAAAAATGTCAAAAATGCGGTCAAAAATGATCATTAGACATATGCACATCAAATTATCATATATTTTATAGAAATTTTAACAATAAATATAAATTTTGTTTACATTCCTATGGGTTCCGTACCAATGTTTATCTGTTTGAGGGCAACGCGGCGCTTACGCGCTTCGATATTTCGTCTCTATGCAGTTAAAGCAGTACTAGCTACAGTAATTGCTTCGTTAGAAAGTTCAGAATTTCCAAAATATGTCAAAATAAAGAAAACATTTTTTTTTCAAAAAAAAGTAATTTTTTGTCAAATTTATAGTTTTTCAAAAATCTAATTTTTTCGAAGTAATTTTTTTTCAAAAATGTTAATCGTTTTTAAAAAAATAATAATTTTTGATACGGGAAGTTCCAGCAATTTGCCTTAAGGCTCGATGCCATGCGACCCACTAGTTACTGGTAAATATTATCCTGAAGCGACAGTACAGTGGAATCGAACTAGCAATAATCCATTATCAGTGCTTAGGAAATTAATTGTAATTATGTAGCAACACTATTTGCACTTTACTCCGTGAAGTTAAGTTAGGGATGTTTAGTAAAATATCGTAATATCTGTCAAACACATGTTTGCATATGTATGTGTATACATATATGTAATGTTGTTTTTCGTATATATACATATATATATATATATATATATATATATATATATTATACTATGTTATAATTTTTTATATAATAACTTGTTCCATAACTAATATCGTTTTATAGTTAATATTTATACTTTTTCTTATTAAATTTCTCTTCATCACATATTTTTTCATTTTTACATTGTCTATCATGGTTTTATTATGTTTCTATATTTTTCATTTTTACCCACATATTATGTTTAACCGTTGATTATGGATTGTTTCCACATGCTATATTTTTTCTATGTTCCTACTGCGCATGATTGCTGAGAAAATCTTCGCTATATGAAACCACTAAAATTCTCTCCATCCCGTTCTCTCATCCAATGACGATACAGTTTCCACTATTTTCCGCAAACACATACGCACACATTTTACACGTAACACATACTCCAAGCTAACAACATGTTCGTTTGGAATAAGCATTTTTATAATAAAATACGAGATAATCGTATATTATTTATTTTAATTTTACAATTTTTTAAAATTTATCATAACTCGACGTTTTTTCAATTTTTTGTTTCATATATTTTTTTTCGTGCAATTTCGTGTGTTTTTGTGTTTTTTTCAAATTTATTTGCATGGTGAGTTTCTTTACATTTGTTTATTTTATGTCAGTTTTTCATATATACTTTCACTATATATATTTATTTTAAAACAAATTTATTAAATTGGTCAGATTTAGGTATTTATTACATGTTTTTATTTATTTTTGTCTGTAATTATGTATTTTTTATATTGTTTTAAATTGTAACCCTGAAAACTTTAATTGTAGCACTGAAGATGGGTCAAATCAAGACCCGAAAAGTATGTTCTCTGAATAAAAATATTTTCTTTAAATAAAACTGTTTTTAATTACTGGAAGAATGCACAAGAAACAATTTTATCATATATATATATATATATATATATATATATATATATATGCGTGTATTTATCATTAAAAAATATGCTATTTGTGCAAAGAATTTCACTAAGAAATCAAACATTTAGATTATCTGTCAACTAACGAGAATGCAAACGACAATCTCCGTAAAGTTAAAATATTTTCGTCCTGATGTTTGTAGTTGGTACGCTTGGCATTCATAAACACAACGAAGTGCGACGTACTCTCTATATACGAGATAAAGCATCCTAAACATTTTTTTCTGATTATTGCACAATTAAATTAAACAATTATCACGTACAAAGTTGGTGGTTAAATAAATTATAGAAATTACATAAAAATTCCAAATCGATTTTACTATAAATTTCCGTTCCAAGAGTTTCATATGATTTCTAACGATCGTTAAGAGTACTGTGTGAAGTACGTAACAGTAACAGTGAACAATGCATAATTATGTCACTTACGTCTTTATCATTAGTCAAAATAAAACATAACCTTGAACTTCTGAAAAAAAAAGTTTGCATGGAACAGGTATGCATCATGAATTAATGAAATAATACTAAATTTGACAATAAATAAATGTTTCCATATATTGGCAAATCAGTTAACTATAAACTTTAGCCATTGTTTCTATTTATTGTAGAGAAATTTATTAATGCCAGCTACCGTTCAATTTGCATAGGTGTGCAATAGATATTTGACATTTCTTAGCTAAATCAGAAAACATTAGCTGCGTTGATTGTCGTGTTCTATAAGTTTTGATTGCCATCAAGCGCAAAATTAGAGCAGAAATCAAAAGTACTGAGAAAAGTAAGAATTTGGTCAACAACGAAGAAAAGGACTTTGTATAAAAGGTATTTCATATAAAAATCGTATTCATACAATATTTTCTGATAATCTCTTCTTGATATAGCTTGCTTTCACCACTATTGTAAAAATAAAATGGATCGTGTAAATGTACTGGCTGCAGCTGTTGAAAAGGCCGCCAAGGACCTGAATACTACAGATGTAGAAAATAAAAAAAGAAGACAATTTCTAGATATTGTTTATGCATATTTAGACGCCTGCGATGATATAAAGGAACAGGACAAAAAGTTTGAGGCCAAGCATCTGATGGCGGAGAAAATCAAGGGCTTGGTCGATGACCAAGTAAACGCTTTGAGAGCTAGTATTGAGCAACAGGAGATAGAATTGATAGAAATTCTAGAGAATTTAGTTTCTAACTTTAACAATAACCAACAAAATTAACTGGAGCGGATATTTCTTTTTAAAAAATCTTACTAATACAAATTCTTACTGATTCAAAAAGCATTTCTGGCCAAGTAACCTTCTTGCGGTAAAGAAGTAAG